TGAGGTTCGCCGTGTTGCTGCAGGCTCTGCCCTTCTGCTGCGGTCGCTGCCCTGCTGCCACGGGCTACACCCTGTGGCGGAGTCTCTCTGTTGTAGCGGGTTGCCTCGGCAACGGCAGGCTGTGTCAGGAATGGGCGCGTACCTTAGTAGGGCGGATTGCCTCGGTAATGGCGGACACCTCTCCCCCACGGAGCTGCACCGTCCTGGGTTCAGCTCAGCCTACGCCCAGAGCGTTTGGAATCACCATTTTGTTTGTCCCACTGCACTACCACAAACGCTGCTTCCCTGGAATCTCCTGGGCTGGCTCACATCCATGTCCCATTCAGTCTCAAGTTCAGCCCTCTCAAGTCTCAGATTGCCAGGTTTAACAGGGCACCCAGACCAGTGCTCTTTGTGCGGAGCGCTGTGTAGCGCTGCTGCACAGCCAGGCAGAGGTTCTGGCTGGCGTCCTGTGTCTCTTTTATATCTGGGAATTTCCCCGTTCTGTGGGCAACAAAGATCCGTCTGGAAATCCAGCCCTGACTCACCCTCTCCACGCATTCACCAAGAGCTTCATTCCTGGGTTGTTCTTACTGTGCCATCTTGAGTTCCCTCCTTCTATTCTTTATACTTTTATGCCTATCCATCACTTCTCAAAAGTACAACAAAAAATAAAGTACAAAGAAGCACATCATAGACCAGAGGATCAGTCATGAGGTTGCTGCCTCATTCCACAATAAGGTTGTGATGTGTAAAATAGGTCGTATTCCATTGGAGACAGAGAGAAGTCAGATACACAGCTTCTAAAGAGACAGGTCTTCATGGCTGTTTGGATGTTTAGTTGGCTCAGGCTTCCATAACAAAATACCATAGACTGGGTGACTTAATAGAGATTGCTTTCTCACAGTTCTGAAGGCCAGCAAGCCAAGGATCAAGCTGCCAACAGATTAGGTTCCTAGTGAAGAGTCTCTTACTGCTTACAGTCAGCTGTCTTCTCACTGTGTCCTCACACATTATGGGAGGAGGGAGATAGTATCTTTCTCTTCCCCTTCCTATAAAGACAATAATCCCATTCATGAGGGTCCACCCTCATGGCTTCATCTAACCCTAATTACCTAGCGAAAGCCTCATCTACCATAACCCTGGGGGTTGTGGCTGGAATATGTGAATTTAGTTGGGGGACACCAACATAACAAAAACAAGAGAGGCTGTTTACCCATCTTCAGTACTTTGCTTGATATGTAACAATTTCTTAACAATGATTGTTGAATTCTGTGAATGACATTCGTTCTTTTCATGGTTTTAAGAGTCACCCAGGCCACATAAATTCAGAGGGAGGGAGATAGTGATGGGAAAAGATAAAAGTATTATCTACTACCTCAGAGAACAACTTCAGGGAATTAATTTATTGAGCAATAATCTCAACCCAATCAACAAAGTGAGTCATTTCAAAAGCCCTCTTCTAAATTCTAGAGAAACCTTACAGAAAACTACTTATCTTCTATTTTTAAAAGTCACCAAAAGACCATCCCAGCAGTGTTCTCCTCAGCCATTACTGATCAGAGAGACTTAGTCAAGAAACATTTCTTAAAGGAATAGAATGATTTGCTAAGTTAAGGGAATTTCAGGGCCCTAACCCAACCTTGCAGGTATAGTGTTGCCTTGGAAACAAACATGGCAACTGTGACCTCAGCATGCATAGAGTCACTTCTATATATGGTCAAAGTCAGTCCCAGATATTCTGGGACTGGAAGGAATGACCCTATTGCAGAGGAAGGAGATATGGATACAGAGAGTAGACAAGATTAAAAGAGGTTTGATTAAAAACTAGATGTGATCTATCCCATACTGCTACCATAACCTGACTTCTGGAAGAGTCTTATCATAATGAAGAAAGAGAACATTTCCCTTCTCAAATCTACAACCTCAATGCAAGCACATCCACTATCCTCCTTGGAACCAGGGATGCCCAGTGCTCCAGAGCTTTATGGAATACTAAGGACCTGGTCATGGAAGGACTGGAAAGCATGAGGTAGAGGAGGAAAGCTAGAAGAATGGGCATAGTGGTTCCACCACTCCTTCCACATCTCCATAAGTTAGGGCAAACCTGATCTTACAGGGTCTCTCATAATCTATCTCCCACAAGGTCACAGGTATCAAATACCCTCCTCTAATGGTAAATACCACAGGAAAAGACCAGCCAGTTGGCTCCCAAGATGTGCTTAGATGGCTTCTGTAAGTATGAATTGGGGCTTGGGAGACTAACCAAGGAATCTTCTAAAGACAAAGTTAATGATATCTCTCAGTGTATCTTGCATTACTGGAGAATGGGAAATGCATAATATAGTAGATTTCTAAAAACTTAATGACTTCAAATTTGGACTTGTTGGGCTTATGGGTTCTGGAAATTGAGGGAAGGAGGTCTAGGCTACTATGGTGCCAGTAGTCACAGAAGGATCTTGTATTAACCTAGGAACTGGGATTTGACCATTGAGTTTGCTTTAGTAGGTTTCTAAAAGAGGATTTAGTGCTGTATGACATCACTAAAACCCAAGATTTCTGATCTGTAACCTATTGTGTAAAGTGATAAGCTACTCATATGTGTTATTGCTCATGGATCATTTTAAGTGTAAAACAATAGAACAGGCCCACATGGACACAGCAATTATCTAAGAATTCGATTCTATAGATGTTGGTCGTAGCTGCATTAGCCAACAATGTGAGAAAATCGGAGTCAATCTCCAAACAGAACCATCCTATCCTATTTTTCCATGCTAGTCTAACAGCAACTAAGAAGTCCAATGAGCCTCCCCTCTCCCTACCCCACCCTACTCCTCACAGAGAGCTGGCACCCTGCTCTGGAGAGTAGCCTCTAGCAAATAGCCCCCACAAGGTCACAGGTGTCAAATCCCCTCCTCTAATGGTAAAAAACACAAGAAAAGACCAGCCAGTTGGCTCCCAGGACATGCTTAGATAGCTTCTACAAGTATGAACTGGAGCTTGGGAGACTAACTAAGGAATCTTCTAAAGACAAAGTCAATGATATCTCCCAGTGTATCTTGGATTACTGGAGAATGGGAAATGCATAATACAGTAGATTTCTAAGAACTTAATGACTTCCAATTTGGATTTGTTGGGCATATGGATTCTGTAATTTATCTTACAAACAATCTTTGCACAAAAAGCAAGTGTCCAAGACAGCCAAATGTTCCATTAGTGTTCTCCTGAGACAAGAGCACTTTTTCTTAACCCTCTCCTTCATGGTTCTTAACCCACTGCTCCCACCTGCTCAGTGCTCCTCTCCTCCCTGAATGGATGAGAGCTCACCATTTACTGCCAAATATTGTACATCTCTCCATTCAGCAATCCTAGGATCACCTGCCAATCACAGTCTCCTGAATGCCTTCTCCCAGGAATAGGTGCATTTTGCTCCAACTATTCTAAAAATTCCTTCTCATATTCTAAACTTCAGCTGCAATTTTTGAGGTAGTGGCCAAGAACAAGTATGCTAGAACAAGACCGAGTTAGTATCCTAACTCTGCTATTTACCAGCTGTATGACCTTGGCCAAGTTAATGTCTATCTCTTAGTTTCTTCTGTAAAATGGAAGAAAGAATTGTACCCACCTCAAGCGACTGTTGTGAGGTTAGGGCTTAGAGCAGTGCATGTACACAGGAAACTCTTCAGGACTTTTAACCATTACTATGATTCAGAGATTTCCCTGACTCCCCCAGGAAGAGTGAAAGTCTTCTTTCTCTGTGTTGCCATCATATCTGGTATTGACTTAAGGCAATTACCTTAATCATCCTTCAACAACTGTTTATATCACTATGTGCACTAGACTGTGTACTCCTTGAGAGCAACGCAGTATTGTTATTGCCACTGTATTCTCACCACATGACACAAAGCCAGGCAGAAAAGAGATTCAACTAGTTCTGCTGCAATGGTAGTTTTAAAATATAAATTTGTGCAAAGACAATTGATACATGTATTAGGGAACTGATAATGTGCATTTCATGTTTGTTTGTATGTAACTCCACTTTCAAGAAACCGGGTAAACACAGAAAACTGAACCCAGCTGAATGAACCAAGCTGAATAAGAAAGCTCGACATGCACACATGCCCACACCTCAAACGTATATCAGCTACTTCAGTTCACCACTTGTGATATGAGCCACACCCATCCACATCTGATATTACAATTTTCTGTCCAATTTCACTTTATCTGTTTTGTTAGAGACAGGGTCTCACTCTGTCACCTAGGCTGAAGCTCATGGCATGATTATAGCTCACTGTAGCTTTGAACTCCTGGGATCAAGTGATCCTCCTGCCTCACCTCTCAAGTAGGTAAAAGTACTGGTGCATGCCACCATGCTTGGCTAATTTTTAATTTTTTTTGTAGAGATGGGCTCTCACTGTGTTGTACAGACTGGTCTCAAACTCCTGGGTTCAAGTGACCCTCCTGTCTTGGTCTCCCAATGTGCTAGGATTATAAGTGTAAGCCACTGTGCCCAGCCCATCTTTTTTTGAAATATGTCACTGATGAAGTTTTTGAGTGTTGTGCCCCTATCTTCATTTTTCTAATAAGCCCTGTGATCTTTACTGCATGGCTTCACATAGTGTGGTTAGTTTAAGAATATGTTTCCTTATAATAGAAAGAACTGTATTCAGTAGACTTGTGGTTGATAGTAAATAACTCATTTTCTTCATGGATTCCTAAGGCTCCTGAAACTGTAGGAGCCCCTACTAGTCAGCAGAGGCTGTTTGGGCTAGGATTCTGTCCCATAATTAAAAGCAATATATATTTATTCATAGCCAACTACATGCCAGACATTGTGGTGAGCAGTGGAGACATGTGGCTAATAAAAAGCAATATCTGCAACTCTTTTGGTCTAGTGGGGAAGTGAGAGACAAAAAATTACAACAGAGTGAGATAGATGCTATTAAAGAATAAAGCAAGGAATTTTCTCCTGGACTTCAGTGAGCCAGCAAAGACCTCCCTGAGAAAGTGTTCCTTTCACAGATCTTTCTACCCTATAGTCTCTTTCCTGGCTTGCCCCCATCTCTGCCTCTTTAATCTACTTCCTGAGTCACCAGCCCATAAGCAGTGAGCAAAGAGGTTAAAAAAAGAGTTAATGTGGCACAGGCAGGAGGGAGAAGGGCCCTGAGGGAAGCAGGTAGTACAGCCACATAAAGAGCCCCACAAGCACCGGTTAAAGCGAAAAGAAGCTGCCGACACACAGTGCTCGAGATCTTTTCCAGTCAAGCTTTCTGCTGGTGATCTCTTCCTCATTCATTTATCCACTCAACATGTATTAAGCTTCTCAGGTGGGCTAGATACTGGGAGACGTCAGTCTACTCATCCTGCCTCCTCCAACGTTAGAGATTCTTCTTCCTCAGATGGCTGCTACTCTGAGTTAAGTGTCACTTTCTCCCTTTATGTCACCTCCGCTCCCTCCCTCTAGCATGCCAGGAATGAGACTATAGTGGGACCCACTTTTGTATCATGAAGAAGGAAAGGAAATGGAGAAGAAAAGTCCCATTTCATACTGCCATCTCTCTCCGTTGCTCCTCAGCCCCAACTTCAACTCTGCAGCTGGTGTTCAGCATCAAGTTCAGAATGTAAGCACCCTGAACCCCAAAAACCCAGCAAGTTTTCTCTTGCCACACCAACCTACCAGATTCACTCCCTATTCCACCTGCCTCCTACTAGTTTCTTTATTTCTACTCTGCCTCCTCTCTTCTTGGATGGTTGGTGCACAGAATGTTAGAGCTGGGCAAACCTTAATATCACTGTACCCACAAGTTCTACACAGCTGAAAAAGCTGAGGTTCAGAGGTCTTATCCAAGGATACACAGGCAGGGACAGGACAGCTGGAAGCCTGATCCCCACCTAGCTCTGGCATATAGAGACTGAGACTGACTCCATTCGGATTCTGAGGAAGAAAAACATTCATCTCAGCTCTACCCTTTGCTGATATCCAATTAGAAGGCTCTCTCTGGCTATCTATACCAGCCACTGCAGCAGTCAGTTTCTTCCTCCCTACTGCTTCCTCCCCCTACAACATGTATAGACTTTTAGGAGCAAAGGATTCTCCTATCTTAGCTAGAATTGTGACCTTAATTATCCATCCAAACCTCCCCTAACCAAAAGTTATAACCCTGTGATCCTTCCAGCCCTGCACTACTCCTACACATATGCCATGGATGGGTTTGGGCCACTGTGACACTCCCAAAATCTCTCCCTTTGTCTTTCCTGTCAGGAGTCATGCTCCCATGAGCCCTCAAGTTGTGCCCACCACAGAATGGCAGAAACTCTACAACTCAATTCCACCTTCCTACGCCCAACCTTCTTCATACTGACTGGCTTTCCAGGGCTAGGAAGTACCCAGACTTGGCTGACACTGGTCTTTGGACCCATTTATCTGCTGGCCCTGCTGGGCAATGGAGCACTGTTGGCAGTAATGTGGATAGACTCCACACTGCACCAGCCAATGTTTCTACTCCTGGCCGTGTTGGCAGCCACAGATCTGGGCTTAGCCACATCTATAGCTCCAGGGTTGTTGGCTGTACTGTGGCTTGGGCCCCGATCTGTGCCATATGCTATGTGCCTGGTCCAGATGTTCTTTGTACATGCACTGACTGCCATGGAATCCGGTGTGCTTTTGGCCATGGCCTGTGATCGTGCTGTGGCAATAGGGTGTCCACTGCACTACCCTGTCCTGGTCACCAAAGCCCGTGTGGGTTATGCAGCCCTGGCACTGATACTGAAAGCTGTGGCTATTGTTGTGCCTTTCCCACTGCTGGTGGCAAAGTTCGAGCACTTCCAAGCCAAGACCATAGGCCATACCTACTGTGCACACATGGCGGTGGTAGAGCTTGTGGTGGGTAACACACGGGCCAACAACTTATATGGTCTGGCACTTTCACTGGCCATCTCAGGTATGGATATTCTGGGTATCACTGGTTCCTACGGACTCATTGCCCATGCTGTGCTGCAGCTGCCTACCCGGGAGGCCTGTGCCAAGGCCTTTGGTACATGTAGCTCTCACATCTGTGTCATTCTGGCCTTCTACATACCTGGTCTCTTCTCCTACCTCACACATTGCTTTGGTCATCACACTGTCCCAAAGCCTGTGCACATCCTGCTTTCCAACATCTACTTGCTGCTGCCACCTGCCCTCAACCCCCTCATCTACGGGGCCCGCACCAAGAAGATCAGGGACCGACTCCTGGAAAGCTTCAGATTCAGAAAAAGCCTTTTGTGATGACCAGTGCTAACAATGGAGCCTGAGAGTGAAGGTGGGGAGATACTCGGAGGGGATTCTGGGGTGTGGATTATGTTATCTTCATCCACTGTCGGCATATGACTATTATCATCACTTAACATGCTGTGGAGTCCCTACTATGTGCAATACTGACATCTGTAGACTTTGACTTAAACATTACCATGCAGGAAAAATTAGTGTAGGATCATAATAAACAAAATCTAACTTAACTCCCTTTCCTGCTCTCCACCTACATTATTTCAACCTAATTCTGCCCATGTTCCCACACAAAACCTCCTCTATAGATCCCAAATTTGAGGGAAGTGCTTGGCACTGCTGCAGAGGGTGGCACTGTCTCTGGAGTCAAGTGCTTGGGTACCTGTCTGGAATCACAGCCCTCTCTATTGCTGGAGCCAGATTTTTTTCAGCCTGCTCTCAGGAAGTGAGTTATACAGGCTAATCTCCCACCTTCTTATAATCTAAATAATGTGCCCTGTGGTACCAGTCTGGCCACTTCAAATTCAAAGAATCCTCTTTTGGTCTCATGTGTAATTACTATTCCTCCTTCTCCCAACTCCCACTAAAGCCCCCAAAATTAACAGCGAGAACTTCTCTGTGACTGCAGCTTCAGAGGTCAGGAGTCCAACTGAAAGAAACGTTGATATCCCAGAAAATCACTGCAATCACATCTGATTGCTTGAGGCTGTTACTATGGCTTATTGTCAATCGGCCCTTTTGTGCACCCTCAACAAGAAGGTACAATCCCCAGATAAAATCCCCAACAGCACCTCCATTTGTCCTGGCCAACATCACTAGAAGCACGTGATGTTAGTGCAGTATGATGAAATATTTTACACTTCTGTAACTGCCAGGGCAGCAAGAACAGGAAGTGTGGTGGTGTTGCCCAACATGGGATTCATTTCCAGCTAAGACACCACACTGACAGGGACATTACACAACAAAAGGTCTTTCATACCATCATGGAGTTCAGAATAAGTATAATCTGACAGAAGGCAGGGATTCACTGTTACGAGATCAGAAAAAGCTGCAGACTGCAAAGGCAAACCCAAACTCTCCAGGAAATCGATCACAACCACAGGTACTGGAGTTAGCCATGAAGACCTGAAGCCAGGAGCAACCCAGTCCACTCAGCACAGATAGCTGGACCAAGTACCACGGGACACCACACAGATGAGGCTGCAGATCAAAAAAAGGAGATGATGCCATCTCTGGTGCCACATTGAGTCTTACCAGGTCATCAGTAACAAGGACTAAAAAGCCCAGAAGTTCTGTATGATTTTTCAGAGGCATCATCACACTGTATCCATACAAGTAGACACAGACAACTTAAGTGTTGGCTCATTCATTTTCAAGACTAATTTCTTCATGAGGTTCTGAGTTTAAATGGCCTGCAAGCAATGATTTTGCAGGTAACTGACATAATTCTAATCCTAAAGAGTCATAAGTTTTGAAGATGTTCATATCCTTCTCTTAAATTCCCCTTTATTGCAGTAAGCTATCGCACCACTCAGCCTGCAAAAACGTAAGCTATGATCGCACCACTGTCTCAAAAAATAAATAAATTCCTCCTTAATAAATCTATCCTAAGAAAATAATCGAGATGTGAACAAGGATATATGTAGTAAGATATTTATTGATTATAAATATATATATGTGTGATAATCCTGTGTCTCACATACATACAGGTATACCATTTTTTGCCTTTCCCCTCTGATACATGAAAGGGAAATCATCTGCAGCCAACGTTCATAAACAATGAATTCTGTCACCCTCCCACCACAAGAAGATTCTCTTTTAAGGCACCTTCAACCTCTGGTTGTGCACAACTTCCACAGTAGCTGGTTCCTGAGCTGTATGTTGTCCATTGTAGCAACTTTCTTCCTTCAAGCTAAAAATCCACTCCCTTGGACATTTGTATCTTGTTCCAAATTGAGATTTCATACATACCTACCATGTGATGTGTTTCAAGAGCTTTACCACACTCTCATTCCTCATAACAACCTGAGAATTTATTATAAGCCCACAATCCCTCATCCATAATTCCCAAAAAAATTTTTTTAAAAACCTCTGAAGAAACAAATTCTTTTATAACTTTGGCCCAAAACCTGATACCTCAACCATCATGATCTTATTTATTATCTTTACTTATCTTATTTAGTGTGAATATTCATACATCTAACTGCAGAAATGGTGATGTGTTTGATGATGGGGAACTGTCCTGAATCTCAATGTAGTAGTCCTTAATATATGATATATGTATTATATTCCTTTTCTATAATCTCAAAAAATCTGAATTCCAAAATATCTGTCCCTAAAAGTTTCAAATAAGATATGAGGGGTCTGTGTGATTATCCTTGTAGTCTGAGAGACATGAAGAGACTTGTTAGGGCTCTTTGTCACTCTAAAGTCTTTGTTGTCAATACTATTCAATACTGCCCTACAGGTTCGTACAGAGAACCTCATGTTCTCTGAATAAAAAGACCCATCTGTTTGTTCCCCTCATGCTCTCCATTCAGATCACCCTCAGATATCCTGCAAATGGTCTGTCCCTCATGCCACACCAGAGGCAAATCCTATAAGCAGGATATGGCCCAAAGAGCCCAGCCCTTAGGCTTACCAGCCCCATCCAGGACCCAGCTGTCATCCATTTTCCTTCAGTAAATTTTAGTCTCAATCTCTCTGAGTCAAAACAAAAGACAGACTTACTTAGTGTTGGGGTAGATCAGTATGGATTTTGGGATCCTAGGGAATCATGAAAATCAGAGAGCAAGAGAAAGGTAGCAGAAGGAGGTATGGGTTTCTAACTGAGGAGTTAATCAGTCAGAAGTTTTCAGTCACAATTTCCTCACTGAGCCCCTCTCCCAAAAGTCCTAAAGAGATCCTCCTTGTTCTTTTTTAAAAATTTGCATAAATTCAAAGGGTACACGTGCAATTTTGTTATATGCATAGATTCCACAGTGCTAAAGTCACCACAGTCCACCATACCTGCACCGACTTCATCCCTCCCCTTCTTATTTTTGAATCCCCTCGGGATCTGGATGGACATCATTCTCTATCAGTCACTCTCATTGTCTCTGTACTGCTGCAACTCTCTCTCCTTGCACCATTTGTCGGTTTTATCACATATCTATGTCTCTTGTCCTCGTGTATGTCTCTCTCTATCTCCACCTGCCTCACTCAGAATTCTTTCCTGGACAGAACAGAGGTGCAGCTATACTACATCAGCTGACCACTTTTTGTCAGCCATAATAAAAATGTGCTAAAGGGGCATTAGAAGGAAAAAACTTGGTTTCACTTGTCTTAGTAAGAAACATGGGGTTTCTGATTTGGTCCATCATGGCTCCTCTCTTACTCTGACGATTTCCTTTTCACTAAACCACTTGGAACTTTCCATCTGGCAGACACCCCTCCCACCACACACTACAGTGAGCAAAAGCTTAAAGGTGCAGTCAAGCAGACTTCTAACTGAATCCTAGATCCTCTATAAACACACCACATGCCTTAACCTCTCTAAGCCTGTTTCTTCACTTGTAAAATGAGATAATAGTAGTAATTACTTCAAGAGGATACCAAATGGATTAACTAATATAATGAATTTAAAGTATTTGACACGGCCCCTAGCACAAAAGAGCTCAACATTAATATTCGGTATAATTTCTCTCCTAGAAATATTTGTTATTAATTCCTCTCTTGGAAAACAGGACCACACCCACTGTAAAAATTTTGCAGTGGGTGTGGTCCCGGATCTATGGCTCTATCTAAGGAGACCTGCCCTCCCGAAGCCAGTTACATCTCCTTTAGAAAAATGTTCCTAACACTTTTCCCCACCACTGCAGGACCTTTCCCTAAGCTACCACTCATATCAACTCAGCCAGCTCAGATGACAGCCAATTTTGTGGGACTGCTCTATAGAGCTATGCTGGGCTGAGCTAGGGGAGGATACCTCCTACACACAAGAGGTCTTCCTGGGCACAAAGGAGACTCTCCAGAGGGACTCAGAGAAAGGACTCCTTGAACAGATAAGGTACGAAGTGGAAAAGTAACTATGGGAAAGGCTCTCTAGAATGATTCTTCTTTAGCAAAAGCAAAACACAGTTGAGATCTCTGAACAAAGACGCAAAGGAGATAACACATAGCTAATATTCCAGCTCTTATCTAGCTATTAGGCACAAATCAGACTAGGACAGGGAGTGGAGCATGAAGAAATTTTTCCTCAAATTTACCTGGGTAATTCTGGCTTCCTGAAAATTCTCTTGTTACCAAGACAACATTATCCCAATTATATTCCTACCCGCCACGTTGTCCTACCCGCCACGTTGTCACACAGCTCAGCACAGCAACCTCCTACACAAACCTGGTTTTCATTGCAATTGTAACCCACCCATTAATAATGGTTTCAACCTAAGCTATGCATTAAAATTGCCTGAGGAGTTATTAGAAATTGTGATGCCCAGGCACACCCCTAACCAATTAAATCAGAATCTCTGGGGTTTTGATCCAGGCACCAGTAATTTTTAAGCTCCCAGGCAATTTCACAGTGCAGCCAAGGTTGGGAACCACCGCTTGGTTCTCAGTATAAGCCCTGATCTATACAGTCATGCATTGCTTAACAACAGGATATGTTCCGAGAAATGCATCCTTAGGCAATTTTATCATTGTGCAAACATCGTAGAGTGTACTTACACAAACCTAGATGGTAGAGCCTACAACATACCTAGACTCTAAGGTATAGCCTATTGCTCTTGGGCTGCAAATTTGTACAGCATGTTACTGTAAGGAATACTATAAGAAATTGTAACACAATGGTATTTGTGTATCAAACATACCTAAACATAGAAAAAGTACAGTAAAAATATGGTATTATAATCTTATGGTGTCAGGCCACTGTCAGTCATGTAATCATTTTCCAAAACACTGTTATGTGGCTCATGATTGTACTTCTCCCATGTCCTTTAGGACCCCAATCCAACCTCACAGAGAAGCATCTGCAGCTAAGATAGTAAATTGCTTCAGAGATGCTGCTGAAGGGAGGAGAGGCCTGGTACTGTTTCCTTAAAGAATTCAGACCAAGAACTATACACACATATACACATATACAAACACACCCTAACAGACACCTGCATTTTCTGCCCCTAATGCAGGATGGATAAGTGACTCAAGAGTATGAATTATAGGCTGTGGTGAAGCTAGGAAAGTCACTGTCTTCTCCCTATC